AAAGAATAGCTATTACATACATTTTAGTATTACACATTTGTGAGCTGCAAATAAACTAAACTATTTTATATGTTTAGTTTGTATGATTTTAAAATGTATTGCAACTTCCTTACCCTTTCCTCTTATCAAACCAAAGAAAAGGATCAAAATTGGAATCTTTGTCCCCTGTAATTTAGTGTATGCACAGCTTCAACCACCACTTTCATCTTAGAAGTTGACCTGGTAGATTAAGTTGCAGTTATTAGTCATGAGGTTGAACTAAACCAGTTAGTTCTCGATTTCTCTTTCCAAACCAGCTTGCCTGTAAGTTACATTGTTAGTACTTTAATATCAGGTATTCTAAATTCGTTAATTCAAGAACACCTATTTGTTGGGAGTCCATCCTTTTCACAGGCTCAGAATACAAAAAGAAAGGTTACCATGAAGATGTCTATGCAACTGAATTAACAGGCTGTGAGCTCCTTGCAAAAGGGAACTATAATGTTCTGTTTTGTTCTGAAAGGTACCTCAATTATGCACAGCACAGAATAAGTAATCAGTACATATTTGTAAATATTTAAGTAGATAATAAAGAGAAAAGACCTTAAGGTTTGTGATAATAGAGGTAAGAAATATTGAAAACCTTTACTAAGAAATAAATAGTAGTGAGGGGACCCACAATGAGATATAAAGGAAGTGCTTCGGTAAGCAAGGTTCCTATGTTGTGACTTTCTCCTCCCCGCAGTGATATATCTTTAAAATACGTGTATGTGTTTAAGTGTGTAATGAATATATACATTTTCATATGTACACATGTTTCAGTAGTGCACATTTCTTGGCAGAACGTAGCTAAGTAGCTTCTAAAATCTAAAAGAGAAATTATGTGGAAATATGAATCATTCATTCCATAAATAGCACAAATAAAATTATCTGTGAACTATTATGATATTAGAAACCAAATATGAACAAATGAGATAACTGATACACAACATGCATTTTTATTGTCTGTTCCCATTATTCAGTTTAGTCTGGGGGGCAGCCTTAAAAAAAGGTTTTATAGAAAATATGGTTATTGGACTGGCATTTTTGAAGAATCAGTAGAATTTTTTAGTGGGTAACAAAAGAAATGGGGCATTTTGATTTTAATGAAAAGAAAACTCAGGAAAGAAAACAAGTAATAAAAACTGTTAGTAGAGCTTAGGAGAAAAAATGGGGGCAAGAGTGACCCTGGAACTGGAGACGGGCTGTATTGTGACCGAAGTGAGGGTTCTGTTTCAGAGATCCTCATGACAGCTGAAGAGTTTAGTGACCCCCCACTAAACGTGAAGGGGGAGCAGGAGAAGTTTTCCCAGATTCTGTGGCGGGTTAGATGGCAAGGCCAACAAATGTGAGAAAAACGTAAGAGGAAACGTTTTGCTATAAAATGACCTAAGGGGAGATAAGGAATTTGATTTAAACTCTGATGTATATAGGGTCTAGCAACCATTTATAAATTTAGGTCTAATACTCAGGGGGAAGGGCTGGCCCAGGCAATTACAGTGAAGTGTTGTCTTCACATGTGCTGGAGTGGAAACTTTTGATAGAAATAATAACTTCAGGGACAGAATGACTGGGGCGGAAGAGAAAAACTGAGGGTGGAGCTAAGAAAATACATAACTTTGTGAGATAGGAGAGGAAGAGGTGCTTGCAAAAGTAGGCTGTGTTATAACGAGGCATAGAAAAATCTGTAGAGGGTACTAGGGATGGGAGAGGTTCAATGACAGGGTGGTTAATGTAAAATGTTGCCAGATGATGCTGGACAACTGAGGAGCCAATACAATTCAGACAGGAATTTCAGCATAGCGGCGGAGTGGGGAGAAGTAGAAGACAGACTGCAGCGTTACTGGGAGGAAAAAATGGAGGTAGTAAGTAGAGACTTCCCTCTGATGAGCCTTAAGTAAGGCTATGATTTTTATGACAAAGAAAGATGAAAAGAAAATCTCTTAGAAAAGTAACTATTCCCAAGTGGCTCTAACAATCTGTGTCTCTGAACATTTAAGCAATAATTTGTTTTCAAAAATAAAAAGTAAAAAAAAAAAAACCCAACAACCTAAAAAAGGAAAGGTTAATAGCAGACCTTCCCAAAAGGAAACAAGGGAGAATGAATGACCTCAGGCAGACCTTGATGATAAAGATAAAGGCAAAGAACAAGGATCAGACCTCCTTGTAAGCACACAGTGGTAGCTGCTAGTGAAAGGATAAAGGTATGTCCTTATTTATTACAAGTCTTTAGTACCTTAAAACTAGTTTTTCTAGATCTTTTATTGTAAATGAACCCAACACTTCTTGATTTAGAGGTCATGACTGGTTGGGGGAATGGGGAATCCACAGTAATTTTGCTATTTGTGTCATCAACAGAATATAAAATGGAGCCCCCCCAAATTACCTGTGCTACTCAAAATTCATCTGTTAACCTGGGCCAAACCATCCAAACAGGGAAGAAAAGGTGGGTCTGAGGGCTCGAACTCCTTTAGGAAAAGAATGTCACCTGTGCCTGGTTCTCCTTTACTTTGAATCATTAGTGAAGTATCATGTTGGGTATTAAGTCTGATTTGAGAATTCCATCCTTTATATTTACACAACACTGTGTTTTAAAAATCAGTGAGGGTACTTCATGAAGGGTATTAATTTGGTATAACAGCATATAAATAGTCATCAAATGGCCTGAAAGTCAGCAAACTGTTTAAACTTAATAATTCATAAAGCTGTGGAAATATGTTAATATCTTAAGAATATGAAATTATATTTTAAATATATTTTATCTAACATTTCATATGCTATGTATATATTAGGCACTGACATGAGAAGCTCTCTGTTCAATCAGAGAAATTAACTAACTGGGAAATTCTCTAAGCCTCTCTCTTCCAACTCTGCACATCCTGTCTGGGGACCTGAGGTGCAGTTTCCAAAGAGAAACAAGTTACCACTGTCGACACTGTTACACTCTGCTTGGTTTGAAGCTGCTTATTGGTGTGTGCACAAAAAGGGTATTTGAGGTCCTTATCCTCCACCCAGTAAGCATCTACAACTTCTATAATTTTCTTGATGAAAACTTACTTTATTTCCCTCTCGGCAACAAAGTGACTTCAATAAATTTAAAATCATCGATAACACCAGTCCCTGCTTCCTTTCACTTTTAATGAAAATTTCTCTTTATTAATATATAGGTTTTCAATTGTGTTTTTCTTCTCCCCTCAAAGGCAAGCACACTCACTTGGACTTCGTGATGACCTGACCTGTATGTTAACGGGGGCCAGAGTTTTTCTACAGGTTGAGCTCTTTTAAGGGTGTTACCTGAGAGAGTGCAGAGTGCATAGATTTTGAACCCTATGGCTTCAGAGTCACAGAGAAATGCATGCTAGATAGCCTTTGGCACGAGAATGGATCTGTATTATCCAATACAGCAGACACAAGTCACATGCGGCTACTTAACAAAAAGGAATGCAAAATATCTCACTAAAAGTTTTAAACAGATTGTGTGTCGAAAGGATAATATTTTAGATATATTGGCTTAAATAAAGTATTAAAGTTAATTTGATTTTAATTAACCTCAATACAGTAACTAGAAAATCTTAAATTGCACACGTGGCTCGCATTGTGTTTCCATCAGGTGGCGCCACACTGCTGGTGCGAGGTGTGCTGTGGTGGAGACTCAGTCGGGAGAGCCCACCCACCGAGCTACTGTCCCTGGTTTTAGTGCCGAGCAGAAACACAGAGGGAGATAACAATAACTAAATTTTTTTTTGCTACTCTTGTATTTATTTTGGGGGGTAATTTATGATAAAGAAAATATAATCATTTCTACTGTGATTCTAGAAGAGTCTATAGTCATTACAACTAAAATTATATTACAAATGTAAAGGAATACAAAAATAGTTAGATTCCCTTTTCCTATTACAAAATGTACAAGTATAGAAGAATATAAAATAGATTTTTAGTAGAATCTTACAAAAACACTAAAAAATAGGTATGTATACCTGTACCTATTATTCCATTGTATAAATAAACATCTCGTAAATAAATGAATCAGACTAGAAAGACTGCTGAAGAAAAGCTTTAAGTGGTCTCTGAAAAAGTGGATTATATTAGCATGACTAAATATTTTTCTTCAGGATTTGTAGAGTTCAGATGCAAATTTCCACTGGATAACTTCTAATTGAAAAGCAGTAACAATTATAACCAAGACTATTAAATATAACCAAGTTTACTGGAATAGAACGCTTCATCATAATGGAAAAATTAGCTGCTTCCAATTAGGATACAGTGTTAAAATCACTGAATATATTTAATTTAAAATTATAATTATTTACTAATCAATCAATTACAAGTTTTAAGCAAAATTACGTGCATATACATATGCATACATATATTTTCATTTATTTTTTGTGTCTTTATTTTTTTAAGGAATCAGTAAATCTATGGTAAACATGCCATTTTTGTTGTCAAAATATAAATGAATGCAAAACTTGATCTATATCAAAGAGTAGTTTGGCTAAAAAGGGAATACAGATGCACAGGGGAAGTATTCTATCTAAACAGAATTCTTATTTTTATTTTATGGAAGATTACTGTTAAACCTCTAAATACCATTTATCATTGGAACTAACAGAAAAATGGTCCTCCTCTTCAAATAACTCATTGGACCTTGTAACTTATCAGCATACTGAAGGCTTCATGAGTAGTATGTAAATAAAACAACTAAACAGCAACAGAAGGAGAAAAGCTGCAGCCAGAAGCAGCTACAAATTATATCACACCATTTGCAACAACATTCATGGAAATATGTGTATATGGACCCTTGGGTTTATCCACATACACATATCTCCCCACAGACGTGTATAATAAGGGAGGGGGGCATGTAGACAATTAGCAAAGTGAACATGGATGGATAAACTTGTGAGACACACATGAAACAAAACAAAGTGATTGAAAAAAATCACTAGCACAAATGATAGAAAATTAAGAAAGTCTTTATTTTATACCTTTCTCGTTCTGGTGAATGCAAACTAGTGTCTGGTCTCAAGCAGTTGGTACTAGCACTCCTAGCCCTGTCAAGGGAGGGCTGCAGTTCACTAGTGCCAGTGCATTGCATCCAATGGTAGAAGAGAAAGACAAAGAAACAAAGAAAGGAAGACCATGTTAGAGAGTAAAGCATAAAGTAATGTCCCCTTTACATAAAATGTAGAATCACTATGATTCAGTTCATAAGGGTGTGAAAGGGCTGACAGAATGGCAGTGCAAAATTTTGTTTAGAAAATGAAACTAAACAAAGATTATGCTTGAATTGCTTTGCATAATTTTTTAAAAAGGGTCTCAGACTGAAAAATGACACCAAATCACATCTGCTTATGAAAAAAACTAAATACAGAAAGCACTAAAACAAAAGGCCTAAAACTTCATTACCAAGAACAGATGCCACACCAAAACAAAATGAAGGACATCAGAGTAGAAAAAGTTCACCACTCAACTGTTTTGGTTCACAACACTAGACAAGGGAAGCGGAAGGTAAGACTTCCGCATGTTCTTGCCTAACCAGTGTTTCACCCGTAAATCTCAACACTTTAGAGTTAAAGCGTTCATGGTGAGGAGGAGAGTCCTGTCTAGTCACTGATTTGGTTTGAGTATGTGCAGGCAAAAGTGAGCCTCGCAAATGAAAATCATACAAAAATAAAATGGTATGGAATGAATTCTAATTAAAATCAACAAGTAAAACAAGACAAAAAAGACAAAAGAACACAACCAGAATTCTGACATTTGAGTAAAATTTCATTTAGAGAAATCTACAATTCATGTTTTATCATTAAAACTTTTTTTTATTTTTTTTATTTTTTTTTATTTATTTTTAGAGAGGGAAGGGAGGGAGAAAGAGAGAGAGAGAAACATCAATGTGCGATTGCTGGGGGTCATGGCCTGCAACCCAGGCATGTACCCTGACTGGGAAGCGAACCTGTGACACTTTGGTTCGCAGCCCGCAATCAATCCACTGAGCTACGCCAGCCAGCACTAAAGCTATTTTTAGATTCCATTTATTTAATGTTTCTCTGTGTATGATTAATTTCAAGGGAAATGTTAATGCTTTATTAGGATGTAAATTTGCTATCTTTAATAGGCAAAGGATTAGGGATTAGTTTGTCACTGGGACTCACTGTTATGACTCCTACCTGTAAATCTCCCAGTGAGAACTACTCTCCAACAAAGGCATCTTGGGAGGTCGTGTTTTATTGTGCCCAACAAGACATCTGGGATATGGCCACACTGACACGCAGGAAACAGGAAAATATATATGAAGCACATTTATATGTAGATATGGAAAAAATTAGGGGGCCTATAAAGCTAAAAACATTGATAGATCTTCTGTTTTTTTCCCTCAAAATAACCACCATAATTATTTGAAGGTAGGATTAGAATCATTAAAATAGGGAATCATAGGTATCTGCCTTCATAATTAAGATAATAACTCAAAATTACAATTTAATTGTTATATGAATTACCAATATTTAAATTTACTGTATAACTCCTGATTTAATATTATACCTGTTTCTATGGAAGTAAACAACTCATAGCTCAAAGTACTAGCCAAATACCATGGTGTAATCTGTCACTGGCTGTTGGGTGAGATGGGCATTATATGCAAACCAGAGTATGAACTCTGATGTGGCAGAAAATGGGCAAAACAAAACTAAAGTTAGTTCAAATTTCTTTCAAATCAGTGAGGGTTTCTGAACTACCTATAGCACCAAGAACAAACTAGGTCCAGTTAATTAATTATTTTTTGATAGTTTAATTTTTCCATAAATTGCTCACTGTGAAAGTCCATTGTCCATTTTGCCTTACACTAAATTATGATAGAGAAGGAAATAACATTTGCTGAGGACATACTAAACATGAAATGCCCTACTAGTTTACTCATGTTTATACTAATTATTAAAACCAAGAAAAGCTCTTAAAGCCTGTGTAAACAATGTATTAGGGTGCTATACTCGAGCACAAATTGGAGATGAATTTTCTGAAACTAAGGACTCTGTCTGCTTTACAGACAATTGTCTTCAACTCCTAACCTTAGGCAGCTATCCTTAGTAATAGGCTGCTATATACTTTTTCTAAACAATTGATTCAAAAATGATATTTTTTTTCAGGAACACTGAATAGGGATCAGCATAGAATGGGAAAAGGAATGAAAAATACCATACTATTTACAGTATGAAGGCCTGAGTTCCCACCATGGCTTTGCCACTTACTGCCTGTTAATCTGGGTAATTTCAGGTCAGGTGGTTAAGCCTTTTGTGTGGGAAGCTCTGAGAATTAGATGAGGTAACAGGTATGGTGTATCTAGGACATAGGCAGCCACAATATTTTCTGTATGGCACTATTGTCTCAGGACATATTTTATGAAAAAAAAAAAGAAGAGTTTGATGGTTAAGTAACATAAGGAAGAATGGATTAAACAATATGAGAAATATCTGAGTATATAACTTTAAAGTGTTCTGTATATTAAATCTCCAGGGAAGGGCTGTAATTTGTAGTTTCCAAATTCTATCTGAGTCACAAACTTTTATTGGTGGAGCACCACCAGGACCAACTCCTCAGAACACACTATGGGAAAAGCTAGTTTAGTGGAAAATGTCGAATAGACTTGATTTTGACTCCTTACTCTGTTCTTTATCAAATTAAAATCTATCACCTTTCTTTACCTGTAAAATGTGAATATGATTAATATCATATAATTACTGTCAGGAAATTGAGATAAGGTGCATTAAATACTTAATATTGTGCTTGGTACTCAATGAAAGTTATTTTCCTTGTTAATTGGAAAAGAGTAAATCCTCAAATTTTATTCTGAAAATTCCTAATCGAATATGATATAATGTATTTTGAAGATAAGATTATATAAAATGGATTAAACTACTGATATATTGTATCCTGTAAATCCTGGAATTTCACCTTTAGAAGTAAAAGTAAATTTAAAAAGTCTATTTAGCTATTCTATTTAGACTATTGGGTGTGAGAATACTGGAAACAACCACTCACTGGGTGACAGGCCACACCGGGTACCTAGTAAATGTAAAGTTTGGGTTTTTTGTGTTTTTGTTTTTTTGTTTTTACAGTTACTGAGATCAAGAGGAGCATGAAGGAGTGTGAGAAAACTTTCTGAGTTTCTAAATAAATCATTCCTATTAATAAACTATTTTTCAGGAAGAAAATTAATAGTAAGCCCAGACAGTTGAGCATTATAAGGAATGAATTAATTTTTGAAATATTTATGGTTTTATATTTTTTCCTGTGACACTACAAGCAAACATGGCAATAGTTATCAATAGGAGTATTTTATACATATAAAAAGTTAATTCTTATTAGTATGATGATATTTGCACTATTAAGCAGAACCACATGTTCCATGCAGACAGTAAATTAGCCACGTTTGTTCTTGTATTGCAGGTGTCCCAGTTATAGCTCTTTCCTTCTCTACTCTACCTACTTCTCAATGGCCAAAACATTTAGAAGAGTTTGTCTCTGTGTCATTTCATTTCCTTATCTTCTGCTATCCAAATTGACAGTAAATATTTACAGATTTAATTCTCTGAGTAATCTCTAAGAGGATTTATTTTAGATATGAAATCCAAGATGTAATGAGATTAAAATAAAGTATCAGGTTCTAAGCTCCAATTTAGAGGAACTATTACACCCCTTTTCATTCTCACCTTTAAAGAGGCGCCCTATCATTCCATGCATCAATGAACGAGTTTATACTGCAGCATTTCTGAACTGGTGTGGGGGTGAAGGAAGGGAGGGTTTAGAAGTTAGCAAGTCAGACCTCCTCACTGTTTACCAAGAAGGAAATTGAAACTCAGCAATTAAAAATGAACGTAACAATTTTATTAAAGACAAACAGAATATAAACAACTGTAGATTTCAAAAGGAAATGAAAAAAAGCTAAAACAAAGCAAATTGATAATCATGGAAACAATAACTCTGCCATGCACAGAAGATCAGACCTCTCGTGACTAGACAGGCGTGTGTGTTGGGGGTGGGGCACCTAGAGTTTTAGCTGAAGAAATTGGTTCCTCAGTTTTAGGAATGTGAAAACAGTTCCACAGAGTCTCATCAGTCTCTGCATTTTTTAATATACAAATAGAAAAGTTGTCTGCCTGGACAAGAATTAAATATATTTGGAACCTTTTCCATAAGCTCCATATAAATCAGAACAAATTTTGAGTACTTGGGAAAATAATTGTATGTCTTTGTGATTATACACTAAGGGAGAGACGGAAGAGTAGTAGAATGGAGAGAGAGTCATCACACACAGTTACCGTTACCAGATCCCTGTATTTACCTGGTAGTATGTAGGCATTCTGCACTTCGTCCTCGTTTTGCTCTGGGCAGCATAAGAAGCTCACTGCACAGACAGGATGGGTGGTGAGTGAAACAGATAAATTATGGGCATTAAATGACATGGGATATGCCAATGGTATGCAGATGAAAACATGAAAAGGGAAGAAACCAGATTGTCTGCACTAGCATTCTTGCTTGAAAGATTAAACAAAAACATGACAATATTTTTAAAAATTTAAACAATAATGTACACATTGTGGTCAAAGTCCTAGCTGTTGTTGATTTGTTACTGTATTTCAAAGTGATTTTACAGATTATTAAAACAAAACGAAACCAAACCTTCCCCAAATAAGATATAGAAGTCTATTTCCAATTCTAAACACTTGGGTTACTTTAATAACTTTTGAAAGGCCTATAAACCTGGCCTTTCTGATATTAATGGGAACCCTAAGTTTTTTTATTTCTTTTAAGCAACTTAAAGCATGATAGTTTTCTTGGCTTTTATAGCCACTGAAAACACTGCATCATGTATTATGTTTCTCCTTAGCAAACCAAAAGTATACTCCACTAGGACTGCTTTATTTTAAAATAGATACTTTTTACACATTCAAATTAATTCCACTCTAATGAATGTCCTGGTCGAGAAGGCGTTCTTCTCCCCCCTCACCTAAATCCATGGTGGCTCCAGTGAATGTTGATAAAGTGGTTCTCGTTCAACTCAACTCAAGCTGAGCAGTGTGGAATCCTATTCCTCAGAGAAGTTTCTGTCTCTGTGCCTAATCTAACTTCTCTCTTTGAAGATTATGGCACCACTTCCCCCAAGAGGATGACAGTTAGGGAGGTAAGAGGCTCTACTTGAGTTCTGTGTCCTTAACTACATGGTAGAACAATCAATCATTCAGCACAGCTCCCATTTCCCTTCTCCTCCCTGAGACCTTCTCCACTTTAAAATGCCAGAAGAGAATATTCAACACGGTAGGTATTACATGAAGTTAAATCATGTCTTGAGGTGGGGTCAAGCATATTACTGTAAACATGTGGTTAGTCTGAAAAGAAAGTCTGTGAGCATGCAGAACAAGGGTTATCATGTAGATTTTTAGTAGTTGGGTCCAGGAAGTATTTTTTCATAAGAAAAGAAATCCCTCTTAATATTTTCTGCTTTATAGACTCTTCATAGAAATATATTTTGTAAAAAGTAGGTATATAAAAATATTATTGATGTTCTTACAAAAACTCTGCAACACTGTCTGCCTTTCAGATGACCTGTATCCAAAATTTTAGTAACAAAATTTACAATTTTGTAATTATATAAATCACAATCCAAAGCCTGCAATCCACAAAATATAAAATATTTGAAAATTGCTTATGTAGTCTCACTTCCATAATTTAAGATAGTATCTAAGTCAACAATAAACTGTACATTTGAAACTATTTAAACATACATTTTGATTTTTTAAATTGCTTATATTATGACAATAATATTAGCCAAGTTGTTCCTTGAGAAAAATTCAGTTTTGAGTGATGAATTACTTTTATTTTCAAATGTACTACACCAAAATATCTATCATGCATTCAAGCACAGCAGAGAATGTTTAACGTTAGGATGATCATGTAAACAAATACCTGTCTTGTTCAGATAAATACTGACTGTCCACTTCTCTGGACCTGTGATCGACTGGGCTTCTAGAGGCATCATGGTGTCTGGTTGGAGAACGTGACCTTCTTGTTGGATGAATTTCATCTAAACTCCTAAAATGATTACAAAAATTCATGTGCATCAAAGTGGATCAACTTCCCAAACCAATCAGGCAGATTAACAGGGAAGAACTGACAGTAATTGGCAAGCAACTGGCACAGCCAGAAAAGTGCTGGCATCACAACCAAATAACGATTTCATCAATGACTCTGAAAGGTATTTCTCCTTTATGAACATGCTGCCTGTGCTACATTTCTGGAACCTCTTTTGTATGTCTATCAAAAAAGGACCATGGTTGTTATCTGCTTATTTGATTAAAGTTTCAGAAGCATATTTCAGGGTAAGAGAAAATGGAGCACTACATTACTTACGTGTCACACACTTTTCTAAGCATTTGAAGTGCTTCAAAGATACAATCCTAAATTCCTTAAAAATACCACTTAATCTCATTCTCTTGCCACTTCTCTCCACAAATCTGACTCATTATCATACAATTTCTCATAACAGCAGAGAAAACTAGCAAACAAAATCTGAAATGGTGCTCGGGACATAAACTTCTTCCACTCCTTGGGAAATATCTTGAGATTAATGAACAGCATGTTGCACAGAACAGAATGCTGAGATTAAAGAACAGAATGTTGGGTAATGAAAAAAAGATATTTTGCCTGCAAATGATTCTGAAAAAAAAATAACTTGATTGCCCTAATCACTATTTCATTTCGGTTAGAAGCTTGTGATAGTTTACAGTGTTACAATAAAAGAGTGCTGGCAGGAACATGAAGTCCATTTCAAAGCCTACCTCTGTAATGGCACATTTGGTAAACGTGAACGCGGCCTTCCCTGATCATCGCCGCGATGAGGAGATACTGAGCGTGAACGGTGATGAGTTGTTCTTTGCTGTTCTGGCACAGTTAACGTTGTAGATTTACCTTCTCTAGCACTAGACCTATAACCTACTGGCAAGAGTACACACAAAAAATTAGTCAGTATTCTATAATGTAAATGTTAATGTGGAGATACCAAATTGTATCTAAAGCAGACACTGACCTATTAAAGTAAATGACATGCAATCAGTATTATTAGCTTTATCTTTGAAACTATGAAGTATTCGTACACAGAGTGTAACATATACATGCACAAGAACAGGTTACAGATTGGCTCAAAGGTACCATGAAGATACTGAATATAATAAGTATGACAGTTGATGTCTCAGACATTATGATGTGCTAGGATATTAATTTTAAAAATGAACAAGTTAATGATTTTACAGCAACACAAATCAAGCAACTGACAGTGAACTATAGTGAATATACAAGTCAATGCTTAGAAGCTTGGTGTCTCTTTCAATGTTATTTGAATTTTTCTTCCAAAGGATAAATTATTTTAGTTGAATTTTACATGGCTTTGCTAATAAGAAATGAAAATGTTATAATTCCAATTTTAATCAATAAAGAATAGCAGGTCTTCACTATTACAAATACTGATTGTGAATTTTGCAAATCACAGAAAATACTGCAAATTTCCAATAAAAATAGTGTATTGGTAGAGATGATTATAACAATAATGCAACAGAATTAACTCTCCCAATGAAAAAATCATCAAATCTACCCCAGACTTCTGAAAGTTATCCCACAAATGTGTTAGTATTAACATAATTAAGTTAATACAGTTAACACAATCTCAATTAAAAATATATTATAAAAGTTATTCTGTTTATAATATCTTTGATTTGAAGATAAACCAGTAATCTCAAACCCATAGTAAGAGTTTAATTAAATTTTTTTAACAAGGTCACTGTATTTTATTAAAAGTAAAATTTAAAAAGTCCCTGGGCAAAAGAAAAAATAATTATATTTGCAACTACATAAAATGTCTATCAAACATGAAAACACTAATTTAATTGGGCAGCTTTGAAATATTCATTCATTTATTGCTAACTCCCATATTGTTTTTAAAATATGCCATGAAGTACCATTATTAAAGGCAGACTAACATTTTTCATCAAAATTAATTTTTTAGTTTTTATGAAAACTGAATTTTCATCAGTTTATTTTTTATGACTGTATGACCTTTCTGACTAAGCATAACTGAGAAGCAAAGTCTTTAAACATTTAATAAGGTGTAATTTGACAATACTGAGAGCAAAAAAAAGTTCAACCATTTTGTCACTCTCTAAAAATATCCATATAATGACCAAATAATATAACCATAAGTGTTATAATTTCATATACTTCAATTTTATAATGAAAATAATAGCACTTGAGCTATTATTTTGAGTCTCATGTATAAATGTTTCTTTGTTGTTCAGATGTATAAATTGTAATATTAAGTCTAGAAAAGAGACCAATTAAATTTACAGCTAGTAAATTTACTTTGCAGCTTATTATAAAAAATGATGACTATTTTTAAAGATATTTAATCTAAGGTCTGAATTACTTAAACATTTTAAATTACCTTTTGATAACATGTGGTATCAGTTATACAGTAATTATGGAAGGTCAACATTGAATTGAAAGCACCATTTCAAAATCTCAATGAATATTCAAGGTCTATGAATAGAACTTCCCAATGTGGGATAATTAATTATTATGAAATAACTCAGAAATTCTAGATATCTTGTTGTTGTTAAAAGGGTATAATTAATTTTTGTCTTGGGCTCTTTATATTTCCATTGAAATTAATGCCTTTTAAATCCTACCTTAATGTGCATATAGAGTTCTTGGTCTGCTTTTTAAAAATAATTTGCCTTTGTTCATATTTAATTTATTGTTGACAACATGTACTCTACCTTCAGAAAAAGGTGGGAGAGGACTGCTATTGTATGTATATTTCAGTGTTTCAATGGGCTCAAAGTTAGAAGTTAAAGGTTTTTTTTTCCATTTTCTGAATTTGTATAATGCTCTGAAAAGCTGAGGTTGCCAGATGTCTTGCCTCAGATTTGGGTATTATGTGTACGGTTATTTTTAGTCTTCTTAAGCAGTTAAAAGTACTTACTTTAAATAACAATAAAGCTATGACAACTATAAAGTTAATAAGATGTAGTTTTGTAGGCTTCAATTGCTTTAGAACCTCAGATTCACTCAGTGGAGAAAGTCAATACATCAAACAAGAACAGGGAACTCTATGATTCAAAAAAAAAAGCCAAGGTAATAGAAACTTTAAGGGACGGTTGCAATAGAACATTTAAATGAAGCTTCGGAACTTCTGCAGAACACATACAACCAGAAACTTGCCTGAGTACATGAAACGTATGTAGAATTGCATCTAACTAAACAGATTTCTCTTCACATTAGATGCTAGGAAATGTATTTGTAATTGACCTCTACAAGTATATGAGAATGTGTCAACACACTTGTTCATTAATGTATCACCTCACTTTATTTTAGCTTCTTGCCCTTATTTTAGCAACACTCATCTTTCCTCTTTATTTAAAATGTGTGTATAACACCGAGTGGCTTGCTGTATCATATTTGCCACACATATATATCTTCAGAAGGTACCATATACTTATTTTGGATCAATGCAGAGTACAGCTGAAAATGTAAATTGCATTATCTCCTTATCAATTTATAAAGAGATGTCCGGAGCATAAAATATTAATTATTGTTTATGTAATTTATTAGTTATATTCTATTAAAAGTTTGCCTCAATGTATTTTAAGTGCTAAATAAAAATGAATATTTGAAATGATAATTTAGATATAGCTTTTATGTGGTAAAAGAAGCTATATAGTTTGCAAATACTACATGGTCTATTTCAGCATGGAAAGTAAATATATAGAATTCAGTGTTCTTTAGAATATATAGAATTCAATATATAGAATTCGGTATATAGAATTAGGGCATCCAAGCACTAATTTAATCTTTAGTGAGTCTCATAACCCCCGTTTTGGCTGTTGTCCATGGGGCCTTTCAGGAAAAGAAGAAGGAACATACCATTTTAGTATTTATTGAATTGGCCATTTATTAATTCATTCATTCACTATCCTGCCTAAGTATAAAATATATGAAATTTTAGGTGAATAAATATAAGGATCACCTATAGAAGTAAATTCTATTTAGATGAGTTGGTAACAACATTAAAGCTGTTGGTAACAACATTAACAGCCAAGATTCTTGTTAGGATCCCTGACTTTCCTACAGGAATTATCTGATTCTTACTTAAATCTGTCCATCGATTTAATATACAATCACTTTTCTCCTTTCAATTTCAAAAAAAAATTCCATTAAATTGTGTGTTAAAACTTCTGTAGAGGATGTGCCTAATTATTATGATATTTTCTGAAATAAACACACAAAAAAGAAAACAAAGGGGGGAAATGGTACAACTGTAATAGCATAATCAATAAAATATATTTTTAAAAAAGAAGCAGCCCTGGCTGGTGTGGCTTAGTGGATTGAACACTGGCCTGTGAACCAAAGGGTCACCGGTTTGATTCCCAGTCAGGGCACATGCCTGGGTTGCAGGCCGGGTCCCTGATTGGGGCATATGAGAGGCAACCACACATTGAGGTTTCTCTCCCTCTCTTCTTCCTTTTCTTCCCTTCTCTCTAAAGATAAATAAAATCTTAAAAAAAAATTAAAAGGAGAGGCAAAAAAAAAAGAAAAGAAAATATTAAATGTTGTCCACTATCATCCAGGGTTATTTACAACTGTCACTGGTGGTCTTCTACCTGAGAGTAACACCTAAGTACATAGAGGTGTACACCAACAGGCTTACTGTTTTTAGAAATACATTTTACTTTAATAAAGTGATTATACAATATATTCTCTAAATTATAGAAACAAATAAAATCTAACTTTAGAGAACTCTCTGTAATGTTCTGCTAGTTTTAATGAGTTTTATGTATCTCTCCAAATTGTGAATTTAGTCACTAGTATGAAATCTGTCTATTAACTTTTCCAAAACAATTGGCTCAAATCAAATGCATCCATATATGTGAGAAATTACATAAATTAAGGAGACATATGTCAACATTGTCCTAAAGAAATGCCTTTAATAAATCTTATATATATGCCTTAAGATTTTCTGTTTAATTTCTTCTTATTTTGATTTTTTTTTTACTTCGTATTAGTCAATCAAGGAAGTAGTACAGGAGTTGTGCCAAGAAAATATGCCTGTACTGCTTGGTTTTACATGTCTTCGGACAAAAGAGTCAGATGAGAAACATACATTTGAACTCCACAATGTCACAAAAAATATTACTAACTGATATGATAAAAAGATGTTAACTTAAAATGAATCTTAAATCTTTCTAAAGCATTTCTTTACTTTAAAACATATGAGGTCTGTCGAGAAAAAGTCCAGCCATTGATAATCCAATGAGAACAGTTTGTGCAACATCACTGGAAACTGAGGAGGGTGGACTGGAATGCACATGCATGAACTTCAAGGACTTCACTGTACTTGTCAGTGGGGGTGATGGATGCTGTTGAGTGAGCATGTGAACTGTGTGGCCATCACATTGAAAATGACTAAGTGAGTAGAGAAACAAATCTGCACCAAATTTTGAGTTAAGCATGAACATTCCTCCATGGAAACTATCCAGATGATTCAGAAGGCCACAGCTATGGGCAGCTAGTGACTGGCAGCTTCATCACGACAACGTGTCTGCTCATACATTACATCTAGTGCAGAGTATTTTGATGAAACATCAAATCACCAAGGTGACTCAGCCCCCTTACAGCCCAGATTTGGCACCTGCAACTTCTGGCTTTTCCCAAAACTAAAATCACTTTTGAAAAGGAAGAGATTTCAGAGTGTTGATGAGATTCAGGAAAATATGATGGGGAGGCTGATGGTGATTGGAAGAACTCTGTGAGGTCCTAAGGTGCCTACTTTGACGGGGACTGAGGCATTCTTGTTCAATGTACAGTTTCTTGTTTCCTGTATCTTCTTCAATAAATGTCTCTATTTTTCATAGTACATGGCTGGATACCTTCTGGACAGACCTTGTAAATACACATTCTAATTTTAATCAGTGGTAAACACATCACAAAAGCATTAAAAGTTAAGCCATGCCACATGCAGTTTTAAACACCCTGCCATGCACCTTTCTCAGTATATTCCATGGAAGGCTACATTATTTTCAGAAACCAGGGAAGGATAATCATAGATATACAATATAAAACATAAGAGAATGGATTTTTATTTAATAAAATTAACCATATCCTTTCACAATGAAATTCATGTTTTCACTTATGCTCACAGCATTGTGAAATAATGATTTTAACCCAGCTAGCCATGTTTCTAAGGCAGAACCTAAGTTAAATAAGTGGGGATGTTAATGAATAGTTGCTAGTCAATTTTAAACTTCTGTGGTAATTTGGAACACAAGTCACCATGGAATAATATAATACTGATTTATCTGTGCTGTATATCTCCAGTTCAGTATCCCAAAGAAGTCTGGAAATTGATAGTGAAAACAAGCATAGAAACACAGTGAAGCAGGGCCATGCTCTTCACCCACGCACCTGGAGGAACTACTCCAATACCATCATCAACCTCATAATCTGAGATGTCACTATCACTGATTCGCTGAGATCCTGCACAACAGTAAGGCAAACAGATACCTCTGTATCTCGTTGGGTTATGAAATGTAAATGACACGGTCACAGCTCTTAAAAAATCCAGCTAATACAATTACTACTGAATACTTTTGAATAAGAATCATACAAAGTAAATGATGAGCAGACTTTTAAAGGAATGTTTGTTCTCCAAGGATAACATTTTCTAGGTATTTCCTCCATAAAATCACTGAAGACATATAGAAGGAAAGAGACTTCATAAAATAAGATTTTGACTTTTCAATTTCTTTTTTAATTCAAGCATTATGCTAAAAGCCTATGGTAAAGTGTGTACACTGCTTCCTACCCAGGTAAGTGTCCTCCTCTTCTGCAGTTCAGGGAGGATGGGGCTGAGCAGAGAGGTTCACAGAAACCTTTCTTGGCTGGAGCTCTATTGAGCTCATATTATTGAAAGGACATCAGGGCCCTTTATAAAATATGTATGTTTAGCCTTCAAAATTAGCCATTATATGCATTAAACATTAATACAGAGGAAATGCTTGGTCACAGAAGCACTAACATGAAATATTTAATTATATGAGGCAAAAAAACTTGGTTCTAGATTACCAAAATGAAGCTTCTAAGTTTCAGTTACTAAATTAGGATTTAGTCATAGCTCAAAAGCTAATGGGTATAAAAAGAAAGTAGTTTGTCCCAACCACTAGACGAATAGCAATAGTTTATGTTTTTAAAATTTTTATGAAAAATAATACTAAAATAACGAAGAACCATAAAGTTATTAAGAAGTTGCTACTTACATGTAGCAATCTATCAATAATGACAAAAATTACTCTATCAGTTAACCAATCAACAACCGAATCAGTACTGGGCAAAGATTTATAGTTTTTCAACTTACAGCTCTGGTATTAACTCTATTATGCTGTATTTTTCATTTGGGAAAATGTAGAAAATACTTTTGCCAGTTCTCTTTATATAGATGAATACTTTTCCAATATTCTGATCTCTAACAAACATTTGAAGACATTATCTTGAAGTTAATCTCTAAATAGATCATTACAATATAATGAATTCTGGTAGCTAAAAAGACCTTTAACCTACTTTGTAGTTTTTTGCTGGAGCTTTCTCCATGAATGTGTCGCCTTGGCATGAAAGGTGATGGCTGAGGCAGAGGTAGTGAAGATTCATCATGTGTCTGAAGTTTATACCAATGTGGTTCATCATCTAAAAGTGCTGTCTCCAATTCTATGAGAATCTGAAAGGCCAGTTCTCAAATTAAATCAAGTACATTTAACAAAACATAACATAAAAGGTGATCATAATTAATGCATATCACAAAGTCTTCAATAAGCAGTAGACTTAAATCTTTACAATATACATCACCTCTCCAAGAAATTCACTCTCTTCTTCTTGTACTCTGGGTTGATCCCACACAGTTATTTCTAGCATTCGTTCTCTAAAATCTCTACGATGTACATGTGAATAGACAAAAGTTTGATTCCATTTTGGTTCTAGTACTTTCTTTACTGTTTTGGTCCTCCTTTTACTTTTATCACTGAAAAATAAGTATGCTGTGTAAATGAAAGAGCAAAAACAAGTATATGCTGCCATCTACTGTAGTTACAAGTAATACTGCTATGGGGATTTTTACTATTTATTTATTTATTTTATTGTTGATAAGTTGCAGTTGTCCCACCTTTTCCCTGTTGCTCTCCTCTGCCACTTCTCTCCTCCCACAGTCAGTCCCCACCCCACTGTCCCTGCCCATCAGTCCTCTATTCATGTTCCTTGACTTGCCCCTTCCCATTCTTTCCCTTGTTATCCCTCCCCCCATCACTCACTACCTTTAATTCATATCTTTTAACATAAAAGTCTAAAACGACTGTAGAGTTTAATACTACTTTAGTTTTAACTACAATGTAAGCAGTAGTTAGGATTATAGGTAAACACATACAAAGGTATACTCTAAATGATGTGTAGCTATCAAAGAGTAGTAGGTATATAATTAAGTCAATGAAAATTTTGAAATTTGGCAGATTATTTAAAAAATACAAGGTTTGAGGTTATTTTCTTTTGGGAATAATGTAGTTTATTCTCTCAGAGAATTACCTATTAAAGGTTATCACAAGTGTATACATATATCCACACTCATCAAAATGCATAAATATGTGCACTTTTTTCCATAACAACCATCTCAATACATCTTTACAAAATAAGTAAAACTGCATTCCAGGAAGGAAAGTCTACCTTTCCTATTAGTAAAGATTTTTGCATAGCTTTTCTAAAATTATTCACTACCTTCTATCCGGAAGAAAATACATTTTTACATAGGGATTCCTGGGACGCCCGTCTACTCTAGAAGGCAGATCTGCTGCTTGCAGGACATTTACAATCAGCTGGTGCCCCACTTTATCGTACCACAGTTTCACCTAGGAGTGATGAAGAGAAGAATTATTAGTAAAAATCATAAGGTATACTCTTACAAAAATACTAAAATCATTTTTGAAGAAATTTTAAATTGAAGTAAAATTTAATAATAGATATTATTTCTGAAAAAGAATACCAGTTTGAAAGTATAACTACTTAAAACTTGACTTCCATCTTCATGCATTTTATATATAAATTACAAATGGTAGGACTGCAATGTTATTCTCTCTATACCATGTCATGCTATGAAAATAAAACTAAAGATAAAAATTTTATAAAACACTAACGGAAGGAGGGGGCATTGAAATTTATCCTTGTTTTTAAGTGCTAAATGCAAATATTTGGTGACTCTAAGTGCTTGATAACTGCACTTTGCATAAATGCATTTTATAGTATCATAGATGAAATCAAATGAGATTTGAGGGTAGGAACAACATACACAGGTGAGTTGGAGAAGATCAGGAAACACATGTATGGTGAGCCTATTTTACACCAGGTAGTGCTGTTTACTTTTTTTTGTCATTTGATTTTCATAATTAAACTATTACAGACTAATTTTCATGAGAGAAAGGGAAAAGAACAAAGGAAGATGTGATACACAAATCATGCCTGCAGACTAAGCAAAGACCAAGTGATGATATTTTTGTTAAGATTTCATGAGATTCTGAATAGAGAAAAATGGGAAAATGATACCTGGAGTCTGCTGTTAGACTCCCAAGAACCAAAACTGCAGCAGCCAGTAACAGTATTTGTATTGGCAATGGAAAATTTAACTTTTATTTTGCTTTAAAAATTTAGAAGTTGGTTTTGGTTTTATGATTAAATAAGAACTATGAGCATAAGTTATTTAATGGATATATACTGGAACATATTTAAGACTGATGATAAGGGGATAAGCTAATTTACCATGGGATTGGTTTTTCAGAGTAAGAGTAAGATTAAGGATTCCAACCTGGATCTGCATGAATCTGTATCTCTGTTCCTAATTAATCCTAGAGATGTGTTTTTCACAAAACCAAGATGTATTTTTTCCCTCTTAAATAATACGTGGAGTGTACGTGTGATTCATACATACAACAAAGATAAAAAGATGCCAGGGTAGCTAAAATAATGCAAAAGACTCTACAAAGATATTCAATCTACTAAAAATAGAAGTTAAAACCAAGAAAGGTTTTAAAAATAACAGCAAAACAGACTATAGAAATCCACATTCTAATAATGAAGCTAAAGGTCAACTAGTATGTATAGAATAATTTAAAGCAAGTTTTTCTTGCTTTAATTATTTATACAAATGTCCTGAATTCCACCATAATCTACAAAGATATGAGTTTTTAAGTTAGTTACAGTTTCTTTATCCCAGCTTTTCACAGATCATGGATAAAGCAATAGTGAGGGAAGCTACAGCTTTTTCAGAGTGACAGCAGCATAAAAAGTTTCACCAAATGTCTTAAGAAGTTAAATAGAGTATTTTAAATTAAAATGTTTCATTCTCTAGCCTCATAAGGTTGTTAAGTAAATGGAACACAACTTTTTAAGTTCATCATGTCTAACCAAACACTTACCTCAGAAACTTTCGTTTAACAGACAAAAACAATGGATATTTGATTTACTTACTTATCACTTAACGTTCAGAACATCTGGCACATTATAAGCACTCAATAAATATTTCCAAATAAATATATGAACAAAGGAATAATCTAATGCATGAAATATTGATGTACTTGTAGATTATGGTGTTAAGTGACCATGAATATCTCATGAGCTTCAAAGAAAGCCATACATTTTTTAAGACAGACTCAGAACAGAGAGCAAAATACTAATGGTCTTCAACATGGGCAAAAAATTCGTACAGAAAGTTGTCCTGGTAAGACTTGAGGGGCATCTTTTAGAGCTCCAGGACTTGTTGGAGAAATAACAGAAATGGAAGGCCTTTCCATCTTCTGAGATTCAAAAGAACTTGAACCTAAAATGAGAAAAAAAATTAAGTAATTTTCAGTAACATGTATGTAACGTGTGGGGAATAAAGATTTTTCTAGAAAATGCTAAATGCACATTATTTATCTAAAACCATAATTAAATATCAACAATAACAGCAGAGTCTACTTTAAATTAGATAGTTGTAGACAGTTATCACATTGTCTTATTTGATTAATTGCCTATTTTAATTGCCTATTTTATTAGATAATCAGATATTTTACTTATTTACTTCAGTTTATAAGTATTGATTTTCTTCATTTTTGGAGGCAATTGTTCAGTTTAAGCTCTTGCATAACATCACATATCGATCAAAGTCTTCATACTTTTAAGGATAAGAAAGATGGTACCAGTTATGTCAATTATCTTGGCTAAAGGATCATTTGTTATGAACTGTCCTGAAATTAAAATGAATGCATATATAATATAACTTATGAGTAAACGTAAGCCTGGAATTCATCACTATTTTAAATTAAGATTTACCATCTATCTCAGTTTAGCTCTTACAAATGAATCTCTTGTAAGCCTGAGAATGCTGTCTCTAACGATGCACAAGTGACTTGCTCACCTTCCTGTGAAGGAAGCTGGATCTCTGTTCAGCCACTCAGCTACTCAGTGAGGCCCTTTACCCCCTTTTTCATATAAAAATTCTCACTTTCCAAGTCACTGTTTGAGTATACCGACACAACCAGCAGTACAGGGTGTCTGTTTAATGCTGTCACTCCAGAAGTATAACCTTGAGCCCACAGCCATTTAGAATTCAGCTTTACTGGTAAAACACTAATTACAGAGCACTACCTTAGGATATGCTCTCCACACATTATTTTTCTACACATGTAAATTAAGTCTAAATTAAGCCATATAGCATCATTCTGTGCTCTCCAAAGACTTTTAAGTATAAGAAACAGTGCTATAAAAGCTTTGTTACTATGTCTCTTTTATCAAGTATCCGTAAGATGGTTTTTTCCTTGGGTCTCAGTACAAGAAAACTGTTGCTTTTAATAATCAGTTTGTTTTTAATAGAATAGCAGTTAATGCTTAATTAGTATCAACACTATAAATTATGTAATTGGTCCCATTTCCATCTGTATACTGGTTATCAGGAAGCTCAAAACCAAACCTGGGTTCATCTCTAGCAGGTGTGCACAACACGATGGTATGCATTTAATATACTAACCCCTGGGTCCTTGTTCGCCTCATCCATATATTTTCCTCCTCCTTATAACTACCATCAGTCATTTTCCCCTTAAACCACCGTGTATTTCTAATTTCTACAAGCTGGGTTACACAGTAATACTTGGTCATCAAACACAAGTGCTATTAATTTAATACCACTCCATGGCAAAGTAAATACCTGGGTCACTTCCACATTCGCATTGAAAACTTCATTACTTGTCAATAATTTATTGCATATATTGCCATCTTCTCTCATCTGGAGTGTCTCTAATGCCCATGTAGATATTTCAACCTCTGGACGCACTGCTCCTTGACCCACTCATACCCACTGAACTTCACCTCTACTCCATCCACTAACTTCTGTGGTCACACCTAACACTGTTGTGGTGCAGAAAATTATGTGTTAATGGGCCTGTTTCCTTCACTAGACTGCTAATGAGACTGAACTAATTGCCAAACTAAACAACCCAATATCACACCAAATTTCAATGTACAGCAAATGGAACTGTTACTGGTATAATAGCTGAGATCTGTGAGTGTCCTGACTCATGATTCAGAATGGTACTACTGCCAGTGAAGATTTTTGTATAAATACACACACACACACACATACACACACAAAGTACAAAAAGAAAATAAAGTAGAATTTCTTTGAGTTTCCAATGAGTGTCATAGTTGCCAACTTCCGATATCATTGCAGATGACCTTACTATAGCAATACCAATTCACCTATATCAAATAACTAAAGAAAATAATAAATATTCATCAATTCCATTCAATACATGTCACTGTAAAAAGGAAATCTTATACTCACTGGACTCCAGGGGAGGATGGGAGCTCTCAGGAATCCGTGGAATGTCACTGAAAGAAACAGTGTCCCGTGAAAATCCCATTAGCTAAACAACCCTGCCTGAGGCAACCGAAGCCACATTTCACCTCAGTGGTGTGAAAAATCCTTTTGGGTCTTTACGGGTGTGGAAATGGACAGGAGTTACTATTAAGGCAATTACTAATGTGCATGAATGTCAAACACCACACAAAAATAAAAACTGCAGTAAAAATAACTTTTTATATACTTAATAGCAAAACACTTTAACATGACAATTCAACTAATATTGTGGCTAAATTTACCACAATATTTTTACTACCAAAACAGCAGGTTTTGGAAATAAAAAATGTTAAAGGTAGTATTTTACTTTAATTCTAGAAAATCAAAATGACACATTTTCAAATCAGTAAATATGTTTTACAAACACATCTGAAAGAGTTTACTGAATGAAAGGGATGAAAACATCTCTCGTTAATAAAATAATATGATGAATATCATGGGCAAAGTTAATAAAATGAAAAGGATGAGTTGCTTTGAAATTATAAGTGATAGAAGCTTGCAACAAAAAGCCAAAATACTTTATATATGTGAATATATAATTTATATACACATATATAACCCTATATAGAGATTCATATCTCTATACTGAAGTTAGCTAAATAGATGGCCATTTAGATATGATTAGAAAGTGACTTGTGAGAACACCCATTCCTGTCACACTCACAAATTACTCTGAGTAAATATTTAATATAACCTCAGCTTAATGCATTGCCCACTGCAACCTTAGGAAACCTGGACCAGCTCAGTTTGGGAATTGTACTGCACAGAACTACTTTACCTCTAGTATTCCAAAGATATTTTATTATCAGTGTAAGGACCTGATTAACAATATGCAAGTATTAACAGGACATATTAAAGCAGACTGGAGTAAGCTAATACCAACAGAATTATTAGAATATTACTTAAGAATTTCTAACCACTTACCTCATCTAACATCAGTTTGATTTTCTTTGAATTTTGAGGGGGGGGAAATAAAAACAGTTTTCTACATTTGATTGTTTTCCTGCCTCTTATTTCATTTTTTTTATTTTTGTGCAAACTAATTCTCATAACCACCTACAATTTATACTTCTTACAACTGGCAACATGCCTTGCATTATGTATTTTATAAATATATTTTATTATATATCTTTATAACTAATAATTTGTATAAAATATTTTACATGATCATTAAAAAACTAATTTGCAATATCTAAGATGCAGAAAACAAACAATTTATCTTCTGCTATTTTCTTCAGAAATTTATTAGGCAAATAAAAGTAAACATTTAAAGTCTAGAAAAATTTTTTTAAATAGTATAATTTCTTTGAAAATCAGCCTCAAAGTCAACTGTGAAAGTTAGAATACAGAACCCTTAAACCAGGTACAAGCTTTGGATTTTATGTGTTTATTAAAAAAAGAACTGTGAAAAAGTTGTAAAATTTTTTACATAACTTTGAATCAAAATTTATTTAATATTAATTGCTTCAGTAATATTTTCAGGCTTAAATTTCCACCTGATATTTACACAAACCTTCTTAATTAGTTCTACACACAACTGAGGTAGCAGAATAGTTCTAATAACAATTATAAAGCATAAAGTTTAAGAACATTATGTTTGGTATGTTGGCAAAAAATGGTAATATCTCAGGATGAGTGGTGTCTCTTAGACCATAGGTTTTTGTTATCTTTTTCTAAAAACAGATTTTATTTATTTATTTTTAGAGAGAGGGGAAGGGAAGGAGAGGGAGTAAAACATCAATGTGTGGTTGCCTCTCGCGCCCTCTACTGGGGACCTGGCCTGCAACCCAGGCATGTGCCCTGACTGGGAATCATAATAGTGACACTTTGGTTCGCATGCCCACGTTCAATCCACTGAGGTACACCAGCCAGGGCTTGTTTTCTTTTTTTAATTACCATTTTACACCTCTCGTTTTTAAACTTTATTTTCAATTACATTTGACATACAATATTATATTAGTTTCAAGGTATACAACATAGTGATTAAACATTTATATACCTTGGGAAGTGATCACCCTGGTTATCACAATATTATTGACTATATTCCCTACTTTACATCCTTGTGACTATTTTTATATCTGGCAATCTGTATTTCTTAATTCCTTTCATCTTTTTCATCCATCCCCCCAATATCCCTCCCACCTAGCGACTATTAATTTGTTCTCTATATCAGTTCATTTCTGTTTTGTTTATTTATTTTGTTCCTTAGATTCCACATGTAAATGAAATAATACAGTCTTTGTCTTTCTCTGCCAGACTTATTTTACTTAGGATAATACCCTCTAGGTTCATCCACATTGTCACAAGTGGTAAAATTTCTTTCTTTTTAATGGCTGAGTGAAACTCCACTGCACACACATGCCACATCTTCTATGTCGATTGTCTGTAAAAGAGCACCCAGGCTGCTTCCATATCTTGACTATTGTAAATATGCTTCAGTGAACTCAGAGGTGCATATGTCTTTTCAAAATAGTATTTTGGATTTCTTTAGTGAAATGCTCTGAAGTAGAATTGCTGGGTCATAAGGCTGTTGTATTTTTAATTTTTTGAGGAATGTCCACACGGTTTTCCATAGTAGATCTACCATATTGATCAATGTGCATGTAAGTTATACTTAGAATAATTCTAGGAATCACTGTGTCACAAAACTGTGAATAAATATTTCCTTTCCACTTTAAATTATAGAACTACATTAAACATAGTTATTAAATATAGCTAAAACTATTATTCCAGGGTTCTAATAATTTCTCCAATAACTGGAAAATTGATACCAGGTACAATTTCATTTAAATATGATCTTTGTATCCCATATTCTTTTAAATTTCATAATCCATGACATCTTAGGGTTTGGCTATGTAGATTATTATTTTTAAAATTATTTTCATACAAAAGTAAAAATAGTAAAAATGCTATTCCAGTCCACTTTAATTGCCTGTTAGTTTTTCAAAGTCACTAAGAGTCAATGATATTTTAGCTGATGACTCTGAAACCACTACATATGTGAAAGTATTTGGCAATGTGCACAATGCTTGATTTTAAACTTTTGCTTTTTGTACTTTTGATTCATTTTCCAATTACTTACCTCTTTTCCAGTCTTATATTTACCTCAGCACTAGAACACATATTATGTAAAACTAGCATAAATTATAGTGTTGCTATTTTTTAAAAATCTGCATGGAAATGCATAATACTTTTGCAAGTGTTTACTCTTAATAATCACCACTTAAAATTGGTTATAAGCTTGCCTTCATTTTAGAGTTATATATATTAATATTAGTTTTTGAATCTTTTCAATATTTTGAGAATTAGAATAATATATGTCCTTTCGTGTTTTGCATTGACATAATCATAAGGACAACAAGAATTTAAGGTTAGCACTTGTTCAACACAAAAAATTTTTAATTAATGGTTTTATAATAGTTTAGAGAATAGGAAAAAATGTCTAAAATATATTCAAACATTAAGCTAATTATAATGAGATAAATATGCCTTCCAAAAATTTAGACTGGCAAAATGAATATTCTAGACTTTGTGGGTTTGTCAGGAAAAGCTAACAATATGGCAAATTCTACACACAGACATAGAAAATAACCTATTGGCTGTAGATAATTAAATTATGCCAAAAATAGAAATTTAAAAAATATATTAATTATTATGACCAATTAAAATATTAAAAATTTTTATACTTGCTTGATTTTTAAATAAATGTTGAAACTACCTATGGGTAAAATATAGAAAAAATATTCTGTCCTCAGAATAGGAAGTTCACATAGACATATGAAATCATTACTATTTTAAATATCACAAGATGATGAGCTTGTTAGTGATTTCCTTTAAGGAAACATCACTCATTAAATGAGAATTACTAAAAATAAATCATTCTACCACCAAAAAATTTTTACTTTATATTTTATTTCTAAAAATGTATATCAATATTTTTTGATACTACAATTGTTAAATTGTGGAGCTTCTAAAATGTTGTGAGAAAAACTGAGTATTCAGGTTTTAAAAATTAAGAAATTTTAAAAATCTAAGATGTATGCCCATCATTGAAGAAAAACTCTCTATGTTCACATGTACTGTATGCATGTATAAAGTTCTTTCTAAAACCCTGCTAATACATGTAATTTACTAAACTTAAGAAGTAAGTTTTTTTAGCCTTACCCAATAGGCCTTGAAACAATAATTTCAACTTGAGGTTCTGATTTTGATTCTAAAATAATGTTGTAAACTTCTTCATTTGTAGCTCCCGGCAGGGGTTTACCATTCCATTCTAGAACTTCATCCCCTTGAATTTAAAAAAAAGGGTATTTTTTTACCTTATATATTCTGTGTATTTTTCTTATCTTTTTTTCTTTTTTTACAAAGAAATGCAAAACATATACAAATAGTTTAATTGTCTAGGTTCTGCTCTGAAAAGAATATTGATTGCCATATCATGTCAGCTAAATGGTTCTTCTAAACACTTTTCTTTCCTTTTTTCTTTTTCTTTCCCCCAATGAATCCTACTTGTCACTGGAAACAGTACAATACAAAACTACCTTTATCTTTTGAAATATACCAGAAATAACACAAAAATAATCTCATGCTATGGAATGGAATTAGCACAGCTTATTTGGAAACATTAAAAAATAATAATTAGCAGCATGCCCTCCATATAATAAATGTAGGCGTCTCTAAACGTGGAAGATTCTTTTTAAGCTCTGCATAAATCCTGCTTTATTTTTGGTAGAAATTGCAATTAACATTTATTAGCATGAATTTTCCAATTATAAGTCATGCTTCATTGTCTTCACCAGATGCACAACAGAATAAAAATGCATGAAAGGACTTGAATTCATACCCACAGGGTAACGCAGGTAGCTATGGCAAAGTTACAAAGCAAGCAGATGCAAAACTGTTGCATGACAGTTAACCCACTTCCAGATGTTCATAACACACACATTCTATACATAATGTATACTGTGAACATTAAGAAGTTAGAAAATAATTTAAAATAATAAAAAATTGATACTTAGTTTGTTAAATATTCTAAGATCAGTCAAGGAGAGTACATGATATCATGTTTACAATACATGGGCTAACAACTTGTTATTTTTAACTAGAATTTTCACCATAGATCATTTGAGAAATACTGTTGATTTTCAAAAATATTTAGTGTAGTTTTAGGCCCCAGGTGGTTCTCTGTCCAGTACCTTCCAACACACAATGACAGACTCAGCCAAACTATCCTAGTCTCAATACTTTGAGGCCACTTATTTTGTTGTTCACAGTGTCTACAACATTTTAGTAGCTAAGCAAATATTTTTTGAGCTAATGAGTCAATCTCATCATAACCATAAACATGAAATCTTTAGTTTTTGGCTAGCTTTTTTAAAGTAGAAAATTTTGTTTTGATGGGACTGTTTTAAAGTAATTTTTTCACCCAAATGTTTGCTTACTCAAAATTAAACATAAATATATGCAAAGCACATGATCCTGCTTTGGTTTGGTAAAAGAATATGATTATTACCAATAGTTAAATGAGTTCTAAAAGTTTGACCTAAGATGATCCCTAGCCATGTCAATCAAGTAGGCAATAAATATACTTCATTCTAAAAAGAGAAATAAAATAATTACAAATTTAAAATATATTAGGAGTCTCCTAAATTTTTTTGGCCAAAAGCAGAAATAATATTTGCATCATGTGAATGTATATATGCATATGTGTATATGTATATGAAAAAATGTTTTCTGAAATGATACTTACCCTGATATTTTCTATTCTATTGTTAATTTCACTTTTTTAATGATGAATGCAAACACTAAAATAATTTAACTACTCAGTAATGCACTGCAATCAACATTGTCCAAAACCACTGCATTATAAAATTCTCTTCTTTATAGACAGCAACCTGAAAGCAACTTTTAATATCAAATTAACTTCGATACATGTATTTATGCTTTATAAATCATTACATCCTAAACCAGAAGGTGGTCTCTTTAACAATATTTATTTATATATGAATATTCTCTTTAGGCAGGGATGTAGAATATGATGATACAAAGATAAAGAAGAGACTTTATCTTTTCTTAAATTTGGTGGGGGGCTAATATTGAAACGAATACTTCTAATAAAATGATAGGAGTTCATCTGAGAGACAGAAGCAGAAGTAGAACCAGGTAGTGCCAAGGAAATAGTAAGTAGTTACTGCTACAGGTGAGATATCAGGAAACACTTTAGATTTAGGGCAACTTTGGATAAGTTTTGAAGGATGAAAAGGATTTCAACATGCAGAGCAGAAGAGTCTAAAAGAAAACAGGTAGACTGGAGGCGCTAACCAGGTCTTTGAGGCAGAAAGAGATTCCCAGGGAGCTACAGGTAGACTGCCATGGCTGCAGGGTAAAGTGAATGGTATTGGAAGTGGCTGGAATTGTTAGTAGAGAGCAAAGCTATAGAGCTTTTACTTGAGCAGATCATAAATGGGAGGCCCCAGGAAGTCTTAAGAACAGTGTGTGTCCATTTCGGGTTTGGATGATTCTATCAAGTAGCAGTACAGTGCATGGACTTACGAGGGGCGTCTGCAGTGGAGAGAGCTATAGCCAGATTAAAGTAAGGTTGCAAATGCTGAACAAAAGTCATGATAATAAAAACCACATCACTGTCATTTTATAGACAAATAATATTTATATATAAACAGAAGAAAAATAGTTCTTAAATTATAGCATAAATCCAACAGAATATATGACCTAATTTATTCAATAACATTTTTCAAATACATCAATCACTTAAAGTGAAAGTTTTATAGGTATTAAAGTTGAGCTTTTAACATTTTAGATTTAGTTTCTCAGGCTCTAGGCTCATAAGGGTATTAAATAAATAAAATTAAAAAAACTGTCACTGACTTTCTTAAGTTTTCTAATAAAATACAAAGACAACATCAAAAGCTATTACGTTTATTATCTGATCTAAAAATTCAGATTTGTGTAAAGTTATCTTACACTGGAGTAGTCAACAAGAGATTCTTGTACTTTTTAAGGCTTATTTTTGAACCATCAAATAAGCAAAGACTCAGTTTACTGGCAGTCACTCCTTGATTGAGGTAGTTATTGAATGGTAACTAGTCCATGATAAGAAGTAATAGTGTGCTGTACCTCTGCACATCTTCAAAGCTACACATATAGCAGATAAAATAAATAACCCAGTTTGAACTTTCTCTCTATACAACATCTACACAGCATGTTCCTATCAAAGAAAAAACCTAAATGATGTTGAACTGGCATCCTGGTAATCAATTGCAACAGAAATGTCTTTAACAGTCATAGAATTATTTTTTCAAAGGTCACAACAATTACAATCTTAAGGTGTAAAAACTAAAAACATAGCCTAGAAATGTTCTTTTATTCATTTGTAGCTCCCATCTGGGGTTAACTATTCTATTCTAGAACTTCATCCCCTTCAATTAAAAAAAAAGTATTTTTTCACTCCACATATTCTGTTAATTTTTCTTATCTTTTCTCATTTTTAAAAATAAATGCAAAACAGATACAAATAATTTAACTGCCTATGCTCTTCCCTCAAAAGAAAATTTATTAACATAATAAAATGTTTTTCTATTGTGTCATATTATAGAGCAACCTAAGTTTCCAAATACCAAGAAATAGGTCATGAATATAATATATGGCACGTTTAAATTGACAAGTATTTTATTACATAATCTGTAAAAGAAATGTGATTAGGATTATATTTTATTAAAAACACTGCTACTGAGTACAGTACACTATGTACACTATGTACATTGAGTACACTATGAAATACTGTAATAATTATTACTATAGCTTAAATATAAACCAAAGAAATAAATAGTGATTTTTTCATAAGACTAACTTATTTATATTTTTGTAGAAACATTATGAAGACATCTATGAAAATTAGTAATCCTTCAGCATTTTCATCTACTTATTTTTACATAAATAAAAAGGATTCCTATACTTACTCTCTCCAAACTGCTAGTGATATATAGTTACTCATTATAATAAGCATCAACACCAAGAAAAAAACTTTTTTCCTGCATTAAATTAGTTACTTACTTAATTGTCTTATATATAACTTACCCATAATTGAAAACCATCAACTCATGCACAGAGTACACATCATTCAAATGTTAAAAAAGAACTTTACCTGCTCTTAAATGTCCAACTACATCTGCAAGGCTACCCTTCTTTACTTTGGTGATGAAGGCACCAAGGCGTCCTAAGTCAGTCATTTTTCCTCCAACAACCTGGATAATCATAAATTTATAAATGCCCAAGACTGAAACATAGTTCACTGGTTGAAGGAATTGATCACAGTCTTTTAAGATGCATTTAGAACTAAGTGTGGGGACATTAATGAATTGAAATGCATTTTTGATTAAAGGAGCTGGCAGTATAGTTTTGAAAAGAAAATGACATCTGATATTTAAGATGACCATGTATCCTAAGGAAGCTTATAGACTAATTCCTAATACCCACCTAAAAATACCAAGACGCCATGAATAATGCATAACCTTAGAAGACAAATGCTGGATCTTCCTTACTTACCTTCAAACAGGAAGTGTTTGACACCTGTTACATTAGGGTTCATTTTCCTTTATCCTCTCAATTCATGGACACATTTGAATTTGTATTTCTAAATGCAAATTATGCCCCACTGTCACATCAGATTTTGACCTCTTGTATGTTTTTAGAGGAATGTAGGTCTAAGACATAAAGACTAGGAATTCAAACCAGCAGCACACCACTCTGGGGAAGCAATGCACCATGGTCAAAGAGTAACAGCCTGAGTTCCTCTCTGCCACCAACCATCTGAACGAGCTCCTCATCTGAAACATACATGTGCTCCAATCTAACTCTCAAAGTCTGAGTTACATTACTGACTATTTAACACTCTCACCTGGCTTTTCCACAGTAACTAGAATTAAAAACATCTGGAAGTTCTAAGTTTAACTTCTTCCAAGGCAGGGGTTACATATGTATAATTATACAGTAAGAGGAATATGCTCAAAAGTTGAGACTGATTCACAACTCTTAGGGATATGCCCATTAGTGGAGGTTGCCAGAATTATTACATAGCAAGAGAAATTAATGGCAATAATAAATAAGGTGATACTATTAAGTACATTAACTTAATAATTTAGTAGATTTAGTCAATGGTTTAGAAGGGGTTAAACTCTTACACAAATGTAATACAATCTCTTGGTAAATAATTTCAAAGGCCACATCTTTGAATCTTTCTCTAAGCTTGAAAAGCAAATAAAAGCATGTGATTTAACACATATGCACACACAATAAAACAAAATATATATTTTTCCTGCAATAAAATACAATCTTTTATAATTTATTAGTTTTTCATTACATCTGTTAAGTCAATTAATATTTTTAAAGGTACATTTTACTCTTTGGGTATTACCACAAACTTGACTGCACTTAAAAAATACCTTTAATGATGTTTTATGTTGCTTGTTAAGATATAATAATATTATCTAGCATTACTACCATTCATTAAAACCTTTTTGATATAAAAATCACCTCTTGACTTTATATTCAGAGAAATTTTTTAGTTTTCCTATATTTTATTGCAGTTTCCTAACATAATATTATGTCATATGAATAAAGTATTTTTAAAACACTAACCTAGATAAAATATTAAATCTACCATAGGTGGAAAATATTTAGAAATCATTGTCAGAAACTTGGTTGAATCCAGTCCATACTGTAATCCACCCTTGCAGAAACAATTTAAAACAGCATACTTACTTTGAGACCTAGCAATGCACCTGACTCTTTGGGCATGGTTGTTCTCTTGTTAAGGATAACACGTCCAATTAGTCGGTCCCCCTCTTTAGATGGCTGCCACGTTACAGGATGCTATTAAAACATGAATAAAGTTGAAGAGAAGTTGTTTCTTTCCCATGGGCACATAATTATAGGTTGTCGTCGCATGATGTGATTTCCTCAGTTAAAACACGTTGTAGAGGGAATTCTTGATTCTGATGGGCTCTATCCTTAGATTACAACAATTTTCATTTTCAGCTCTATTTTATTTGCAGTACTCATGCTAAATAGTTCTAAAAGTAGTCAGCAACTAAGTACATCTCTAAAATAGTTCTGAAATATAATTAGTTGAAGTTTAAAAATATACCTGCTTATATAAGAAAACTGGTTCTGTATTTTGAACTGTTGTTTATGTTGATATCATAATAATATCTAATTTCTATTTAGCCATTATTTAATAATTGCTTTTTATTTAAAATTTGTTATAATTATTCAGTTAACTCTTTTATTCAAAACTGTTCTTTCTGCCTTAAACGAAATCAGTATTTGCTCGCACAATATTATAATGGAGCAGAATAAGATGACTGTGTAACACATATCAGAGAAAGGACAGTAAGTAACACACATTAACCCTAAATGCCAAACTCTCTCTTCCCAGAAAGCTTACCGAACTAATTGGTGATGTTTCCCGACTATGCCACGTGGCAGGATCCAACCAGTAATAATCCAAGTCACCTGCACAACAGAAAAAACCAAAAGTGTAATTAATGTTTTGAAGTAGAGAATGCTTTAATCATTGCAGGTATGACTTCTTCCATCTATAAAAGATTATGAAACTCATAACCTTGAGCGTGCATATACCGGAAGGGCACACGCCTGCACTGACTGCCAAGGCTGTGATCTAAATTCTTGGAGTGGATGCATATTACAAATATGCTTCACACTATAGGAGAACTCCCTTCGACTGCCACCATCAGGCTAGAACCACACGCAGAAAGTGTGACTACCCACACCAAACACAGCCTGCCCTCTTGTGATGCTGGCTAACAGGTTATTCACTACACTGAGATAAATATTAAGGCTTAGTGTCTTCCCTTCTACTCTTCTGAATGATATCATATCTTTCAGAATTATTCCCTGGCCTCTATCCTCTTCCCTCCTTACCTGAAAAACAGGACAAATACTTTTAGGACATGGTAATGAGTAATTAAACATCACAAATAACTTTTAGCAAAAGGAAACACACAAATGGCAGAATATTCCATTTTTACTAAAGCCATAAAAAAGACTTTTACAATGCTAACTTTGTGAACATGAACTTATGAAACTTCAATTTTCATTTTTTGGCTTAAAAACGTAAGACTAAAGAAAGCACCTGAGAAAAAATTAAAAATAATGGAGAGCATCACCACTTTCAGTATTTGCAGAGAAAGGAAGGACAGAAGGGGTAACCCATATGAGAAAAATGACCTTCTACATTTTACATATCAGATTAAGTCAATTAAAAATTTTCTCCCTGTGGATCTTGAGAGAGAAACATACTGAGAGAGTGAGTAAAGCATGCCAGCCAGCAATGAGCTGTCTAGCTGACCACTGGGGAAATGCGTTTGGCTGACATCTGGGAAGGCCCTCAGTGAAAAGTTTCTGTGAGGCGACAAGCATGGCAGATACAGGCACTACAAAAGAAATGTAACAGAAAATAAATGTTTCAAGTTCACAGGCATAAAAATCCATACACTTCCATTTCTAAGTGGCTGCTCCCCTTCCTTTTTATATAATATCCTTAATAAGGTTGATGGACAATGTTATACATACTACAATGAACAAAAATGTTCTTCAAATATGTCATGTAGATAAAAGGAATATATTCTATAAAGGAGTATTAAAAATGCATTAGCACAAACTATATTGTTACAATTTATTCCACATGGAGTCAATATCTTTCTCAAAATCATAGCATTTAAAATGTATACACAACTTGGTGTTAATAATTATAGATTTCTAATCTTCTACTGTACCATCTTGATTAATAAAATATAAGAAAATGTGTAAAAGGAAAATTTTTTCCTCTTTTGTTTTTGTTTTTAAAGTTCATATGCTTATTTTTAAAGCTGCCGTGTCTTTAGTAACATGATGCTAAACTTTTAAAGGAAAAAGTATTTAAGATGGTAAAATTAAAACTGACTACAAATATCATTCAAAAGATTATTTCATTTCATAGACTTTTCTCCCTAAAATTTCATAATAATAAGGTCTGATGACTTCTAAAGTGTTGCTTCTTTTTGAAATGCTGTAATAAAAACAAAACCACTGAGTTAAAATCAGTAATTAATTTGAGAGCTGCTCTGAGAAGTCTTTGAATTTAAAAATATGATGATGATTATCCTATTTAAAAACTTCAAGGAAACAGTTTGTTTTACGCTTCAACAACCTGATTTAGAGCGTAAAACCTGTGCACTGTGGATTCCTCTCTGGCCTGCAGCCGACCCCGCACACCATAGTTCACCCTGCATGCCACTCAGTTGTCCTACAGAAATCCACGTAAACAGGTTTCCTGAATGTTTGCTTATACATAGGGAAAGAACCAAAAAGTGATACTTCTGGTGAATTTTGGTGATGATACTGAACTTGCTTTATGACAAAACACTGCTTTCAAGCACTGTCATTCTCTAATCTATAAGCTTTGTAAGATGATGATCTTAAACGGATAGTCTAATTAATTGGTTTGAGATACGACAGATACAGTTTTCCGGGTGACTTCCCTATGTAGCCAGCAATAATTCCTTCCTTTTCCTGGCAGTGGTATATAGATGCTTGAGATTTTGCAGCTTGAAAATATTCCCCCCCAATTCTTGTCATACACAGAATTGTAGATATCTATTAAAATTGCTAGTCAATATAAAAATGCATTCAATATTTAACATACAATAATATTTTATATATTTTATAATACAGTTATACTTCCTTCACATTCTGAACAGATTCCAAAAGTTTCTATCATTAATTTTCATTATCACCTATTAAAATATAAATTTTTTGTTTAAAGGCAAAAAATAGCCCTGGCTGATGAATTGAGTGCTGTCCTGCAAACCAAAAGGTGGTTGTTTTGATTTCCAGTCAGGGCATGTGCCTGGGTTGTGGGCCAGGTCCCTGCTGGGGGTGTGTGAGAGGCAACCACACATTGATGTTTCTCTTTCTCTCTTTCTCCCTCCCTTCCCCTGTTTCTAAAATAAATAAAATCTTTTAAAAATATATAAATAAATAAATTCTAAAATCCAAATTTTAGTTTTAAACTATATTTGCTTCTTCTTCCCATGTAATTACTAAATTTTAAAGATATTATTTACTTTTTAAATACTTTAATTTGTCTTTCTAAGTCACATCTCTCTATTATTAATGGAATAAGCAACACTCAATAAAATTTCCTCCTAAAATATTCAGACTCTAGTATTTCATTAATATAAAATATTTTCTTTGATTATTTTTCTAATACTTGATTAAAGATACTGATTTCAAGTAGCATGACTACAAAAAGATAGATTTTGTATTTGGCTAGAGAATTAATACAAAAGCATTTTGATTCTAATGTTAAATATAACTATAAAGGAGTAAATTTACTATTATTATGAACTTAGATCCAGGGAATATTTGAGTCTACTGAAATGGCTCAAGTTCATAAATAGCCAAGTTCAATGAAGTGTTATAATTTTAAGCACTATTTTTTGTGAAGACTTTAAAAATAGACTTTTATCCAATGCCTTGAGAAGAATAGGTTAAATAATATATAAGCACACAATTTCATTTCACAAATAAAAGCAGGTTAAGTGACAATGAACCCTCTTTAAGGAGCATGAGCCACTCCTGAACCCAGGTCACTCTGACTAGAGTGTGTAACTGCACAAACATGCATCTCTGTGATTTCAACTTCTGGGTCTTATGATGTCGAATGTCAAGCACAATGGATTCCAATGAGACCAAAGCAACCGAACAAAATACAGTCTAAATAACGCAGACATATGACTAAGTGTGTATGAATACATGACATCTGTAAGGAGAAAACCGTAACTAATTTCATACATTACATATGCATTTAACAATTTTCATAACAGTTACATTTAACCAAGTAGAATGTTCACCTAGTGTTCAGGTAGAAAAAAAAATTATTTACATTGAAGTCTTGCAGAATTAGACAATTGGAATTCTTCTGTATCCCCATTAGAAACACACTGCATATTTTTAAAAATCATTCCAATGAATGGTGATTAAAGATGGGACTCAAAATGACTACAAGATAGACTCATGGTAACTCTCCACAATTCCAAATACATACCAAAATTGTGCTACTTGTCATCTCAAAAAATATATAAGTTGTTCTTCTATATAATGAAAATTGTTGCCATTCAAAAAACTTATAAAATTTATAGACAAAAAATCAGAAGAATCATCCTTCTCAGAGATTTCCTATACATCTTAAAATGTTTTCCTCTTCTTGTTTATGCTCCACAGCAGAATGTGTTGACACTAAATAAAATTAAATAAATACTAATCTACTTTATTATAGCACAGTACATAGACAAATTAAAATACTGAGCAAAATACATATTTATTAAATGTTTTATACAGTGCATATACAAAAACCAAGTCAATTCTAAGAATGGGTTTTTCAAAGTCCTAGGAGGCCTAATTTCGTCTAAATTAAATTAGCAATCAGGATAAGAAACAATATTATTTAATAGGACTTGCTTTCTAGGCAATAAAACAAAATAGGATGATATACTTGTTAATTTAATTATTAATCACATAATCTGTGAAGCAGTAAAGGCTCCAAATAAATAATACTATGTGTACTGATGCAAAAATCACAAATAAATTACTATCAGTCTAAGTCCCTAGTATAGTGAAAATATCGGTCCTCAAATACTTTTGGATGACTTCTTTCAAAATCCACAACAATGTCAACTCCACAATTTGATGGTAAATGCCCCATAAATAAGTAACACAGACTTGTGCCTCCTGCATGCAAGGCCTGGGGCAAGGCTGGAGGCATCTCCAAACCATTGGTCTTCAGCAGAACCTCTTCAATAATTCTAAGTAACTAAAAATCCAATTTCTGGTTTGGGCCCAGGACACACACATGCGTAGCATCATTCCTTGGGAGAATATTACATTATGTGCAGTCTTTAGGGATTCATTAGAGTGGTGGTTCTCTAAATGCACATTAGAAATTTCACTTTCAAAATTCTCCTTTGTTCACAATGTGGTCTGTTTCTATCATAGAACCAACAATATTGTGCGTGCTCTCTCTCTCTGCAGCAACTATTATTTACTACAGTCATGAGGTGTGAAAGGTGTTTGTATTGAGAAATTATGTATGCTCAACAGAATGGACAGAATTGAACTACTTCTAGAGAGAGATTAAATATTTGCTGGAGGGCCTGGAATGCTATCTCTGTGTTTGATAATTTGGGGGTACAGAAAAGACAGCTAAGTAACTTAACTACAAATGAATTTCATTACCACTTAGTAGAGGTGGTACTTTTATGTTTATGTGTAGTGTTTGGTGAAACTGATAACTAGTTTTTGGAATGCCACCCCTACCGCCACAGAGTTCTACAAAGCAATTCTAAAAAACTCAGAATCAACTTTCTGGCTGAGCTCTGGGATCAATAATTAAGATAGGGTTTCAACTTTGGGAGATAATAACTTCTATAGCGTTCCATTGTTCTTTCCAGGGT